ATTTTAGTATTGTTCTAAGTTATTGTATGGTTTTCTACCTGCTACAGATATCCTGTTATTTTAGTATTGTTCTAAGTTATTGTATGGTTTTCTACCTGTTACAGATATCCTGTTATTTTAGTATTATTCTAAGTTATTGTATGGTCTTCTGCCTGTTTCAGATATCCTGTTATTTTAGTATTATTCTAAGTTATTGTATGGTCTTCTGCCTGTTAGAGATATCCTGTTATTTTAGTATTGTTCTAAGTTATTGTTATCTTCTTGTCATGATGGCTGAGATTTAATCCTGGATCTTCTTGTCATAAAGGCTGAGATTTAATCCTGGATCTTCTTGTCATAATGGTTGAGATTCAATCCTGGATCTTCTTGTTAGAATTGCTTAGGTGTTATCTGTTCACTTGTGGTTTTCCCTTAGGACTTAAACCATCTTGTTTGAATGCTTTCAAAAGACCAACAAAAGTTAGAAATTAGAAGCATTACAGAAAGAGAAAACTATAACAACAGTATCTGTAACAGGCAGAAGACCACATCAGTTGATGGAAAAGTTTTGGAAAGTTTGATAAAAGATGCTTTACAAAGCCATTTAACAAACTTTAGAATTTTATTGGATAATCAACATGGCTTCACTAAAGTAAAATCTTGCCTTACAAATCTTATGACATTATTTGAAAAGGTTACTGGTTATGTAGATGAGGGTAAGGGTGTAGATTTGGTGTATCTGGATTTTCAAAAAGATTTTGACAAGTAGTGGAGGATAAGTTAACTAATTGGATAGAAGAGTAGCTGGATGGTAAAAAGCAGAGGGTTATAACTGGAGTTCAGTCAAGCTGAATTAATGTCACAAGTGGGGTACTTCAGGGCTCAGTCTTAGGACCTTTGCTCTTTTTGATTTATACCAATGACAAAGATGAAGGAATGGTCAATAAATTACTTAAATTTGCTGATGATGTTAAGGTCTTGGATGTTGCTAGCTGTGAAGAGGATGCTGCTGATTTACAAAAGAATTTAGATCATTTAGTTAGTTGGGTATATAAATGTCAAATGGGTTTAAATTATAATCAATGCAAGATAATGCCTGCAGGTTATTATAATTTAAATTATAAGTATAATTTTGATGGGAATAACCTCAACAGTGTCATAAAAGAAAGGGAACTTGGTGTAATGGTTGATTAGTCTCTTAAGCCATCCAGGAAGTTTGCTGTTGTTAGTGGTAGGGATTTTAGGTTGTATTTACAGAAATATTGAATACAAGTCTAAAGAGGTTATAATTTCATTGTACATGTCACTGGTCAAGCCACATCAAGAAATGTGTTCAGTCCTGGAATCCTTATCTTAGGAAGGAAATTGAATTGTTGGAAAGGGTTCAGAAGATGGTTACTAGAATGGTGCCTGGGATGGAGGGGGTTATCATGTGAGAGATTAAGATCTCTGAAATTGTTTTCTCTTGAAAAAAGAAGAGTTAGAGGGGATCTGATTGAGGTGTTTAAAGATTGTAAATGGAATTGATAGTGTTGATGCATCATCTTTTTTCATACTTAACAGTAAGAATAGTAAGACTAGGGGACATAAATATAAATTCTGGAAAGGTAGGAGTCATCTTCAGCTAAGACAGTTTCATTTTTCTAACAAGGTAGTTAGCCTCTGGAATGGGTTGCCTTCAGATGTTGTGAAGGCAGTAAATTTAAGTGAATTTAAGAGAGAACTATATGAATGATAAGGGCTGGGTTTAAGATTTTTATTTATGTATTTTTTAATTTATTTTTTAATAGTTTTAGTTTACTTTAGAGGATAGGACAGCCCCAAACATTATGTTATGCTAACTTATGGCAGAAATGAATGATTCTCTAATAGTTGGAACCTGTAAGTACTGACACCACATACAACTACAGGTATATTTTTTAAGTGGTGGTTGGCCTTTGTTACAAGTTGTCTTCAGATATAGTAGATGCAATTAATCTAAAGAAGTTGAAGAGAAAACATGATAAACATTTAAATGATAATTGCTGACTTTGAGTTTTTCAGTGTTTAGTTTAATTTAGTAGATACAACAACCTGAGTGGACCAAAAGGCCCCTTTTTTTCCTCTAATGTTATGTTGTATTCAGTTAGGTCCTGATGAGAAATCTTTCTTTTATCATTATGGCTGAGATATAATCCTGGATCTTCTTGTCATAATGGCTGAGATTCAATCCTGGGTAGGACTAATGGGCCAATTATTATCACCTCCTTTGAAAAGAGCTAACTTCTAATCCTTTAGCACCTTTCCACAGTTCAAGGACTTAGAAAAAAAATAGTAGCAAGTGGCTCACATATCCAGTTCTTAACCTCCTTCAAAACCCTTGGGGAAATATTATCTGGAGCCCAGGAGCCTTATCATTCCTAATTTTTTCTTAACCAGATCAGAATTAATGCAGTCATCTTGTTAGATCTTGTTTCCATTTATCAACTGTTCAAAATGTGGAATACTTCTTAAATCTTCATTAGTAAAAACCGAAGAAAAAGCAAAATTTAATAACCCAGCCTTTATCATCACTCAAGGGTCTTATCCCCATCCTAACATTTTGTTTACTCTTAATGTACTTAAAGAAATCCTTACCATTAATTTTTACATTTTCAGCTAACCTTTTCTTATACATCCTTTTTGATGTCCTAATTTCCTGTTTCACCAACTTTCTTGATCTTCTAAGTCTCCTGTCATACCAGTCTATTTATATTTCTTAAATTTATTATACTTTTCTTTAATTCTTTCTCTTAAACTCTTTGTGAGTCAACCTGGTTTTTACTTGTAGATACCTTTTTCTTTCTATAGGGAATAAGTTTACCTTTAATATTTAAATATGTATCTTTAAAAATTTTCCACATCCGATCAGTGTCTCTAAATAACTCAGCTGCCCAATTCACAACAGATAGTTCTTGTCGCATCCGTTCAAAATATTCTTTTTTGAAATTTGCAACCAAAATATTATTATTCCTTATCTCCATACGTAGCAAAACATTTAACATAATAGAGCAATGATCATTTGCACCCAGATGTTTCCCAACTTCCACCCTCTCGATTTCTGTATTTAAAAATTGAAGTTAACAATACGTGTAAAAACAAAATAGCATTGTTTCTCGTTGGTTCCTTACTTACCTAATTGCCTGAGTCTCGGTTTTACTGAAAATCGAAGGCCTAGCAGCGTTAAACGTGTACCAATAAAACGATACATTAAGTTTTAATGTACTTAAAACTATGTCTTACTCAGTCAACAACACTACATGCTAATTCAATTTCATAACATATTTTAAACTCAACATGAAGTGCAAACCAACGTTATCTATTTACTTCCTTCTCTCTCATATGCCCTCTCGCGTACAATAATAGTTACAAAATATATTTTTTATAATTTCAATAAAATTTATAATAATTTTAATTTTTAGATAACCAAAAATTTCCTAATCAAATTTAATCTGTCACAACAGTAAATATAACGAAAGCATTCATTTTAATTACCAAGAAGTTAAACTCTGAAAAGAAAATTAAGTCAAAACTAAAATAAGAACTTAAACATATAATCTTGAAACTAAAAATACTGTTACCACAGCGGTAGTCACGTGACCCTGACAACACGTCATGATATACTAGAAGGATCGGGGAACATCACGAATAATCCAGTATGTGCTAGGCGCCCTCTATTCCTGTATATAAGTGCGCCGGATAACGTGAGACAAATTAATCGGAATTGAATTGCAGACAGAGATAGAGACGGACAATTGAGTCAAGCGCGTGAATCGTTCGTTGTGAATTACAGCGTTTGTTTAAGTTAAGTGACTGTGGGAATTAAGTGTATTGAGAAAGAATAAACTAGTTTTATTTAAGGAAGGACTTGCATTGCTGAAGTTTTTCGGAAAGAATTTCTACGGAAAATTAGCAAACGACCAGAGACGTAACAATACTATAACAATGAATAAGCATAACCCATTACTAATGACATTAGTAATGTAATATGTAGACATAATTAACGTAGAATAAGTTGGGCAAACGTCGAACATTTAAAACTAACAGTGAACATTTCAAATTTGTAAATATTCGCTGGAAAGATTGTCTAAAAATATTCGGTAATAATAATAATAGTACGCAGTACAGTCCAAGTAACAACAAAGAATCAATTTATTTCTTTAACAGCGTTTTATACAGGCTGTATTCAAAGATTTGTTACGGACTAAAACAAAATACCGCTACAACTGGGGTCACACAAAATACAGTTTATTAAACTGTAACAAGAGAAATCCAGAATAAAATGTTTGAACAATTGGAATACAAATTTTATCATTTACAAAAAACAGTATATCCGTTTCTGGCCAGAACTTGATATTGTTGCGTCATTGAGATCATGTGATTCTCACGCCCTCTACTTTCTAAAACTATCCTGTACTTTG